GCCTTTTCCAAATGTTTATTTTAGCAAGAAATAATGCACTCAACTAACCATATCTTTGGAGTTATCATCATTGCCCAGGCTATTTACAAACTGTATCTATTAATCATTTTTGAGCATGTACAGCAATTAAATTAGGCCAGGTCACACTCCAACAATAATAAGATTTTAATTGCATGGGGCAAGACTCGAATTCAGCTATCTCTGGATCGCTTGACAAGGGCAAACAAAACACTCGTTGGCAGCGCAAAGACAGAAAAGAAGGAAGTAGAAAAAGAATGAAAGGGAGAAACATCAAGTAACAAGCAGTGTAGGTTTCAATTTATGTGAAAATGAACTAAAAGGAAGAACAAAAAGGAATGATAGAAAGTAAAATGAAAATAGTAGACAGTCTTTTTTCAATTATACACCTGGGTGTTGCAATCTGAAAAGACAAGTGCAACTGCAATTACACCTGAGCTAGACATCTGGATTTGCCTCATCTCCCCTCCCTGAACCTCTGACAGGAAAAAAAAAGCTGTTTCAATATAACTCATCGCCAATCACCTTCAAATACAGCTCTGCGATCTGAGGTCAAACTCTTTCGTCTACACCTGACAAGCAAAACAAACATTCCACAGTTTAAGAGCATGCAAACACTAGAATATAAGTGTGTAAGGGGTGGTTGATGGTGGTGAAGAGAAAAACTGAAAAATATGGACCAGAGCAAAACCCCAAACAAAACACAAGGTGCTCCAAAGCAATATGAATATTTACTTGTTGAATCTTTTATCAGTTTTGTTTTTATCTCTCTCCTCCTCTCCCACTCTGGGTGTTATCTATGCAGCAGGTACTGAGCTATGCATTGGGCTGCGTGGAGCTGATTAGAACAGTGATAGATGGGAGGGTGGGTGACCTTAGCTTCTGACTAAACACAAGGTTGGACATTTGTCTCCTCGCTGCATTTGCATGCTTTCCACCCATTTATGGCAATTTGTCACTATATTCACTTTGCCATTGAGAAGACACGGTTAAAAAAAATGGAAAAAGGTATGCATTGCAAGGCAAGATCCTCAAAAACAACAATTCAAAACAAGTTTTGATGATGCACTTTAATTCAGATAATTCAAAGAACAAAACCCAACATTTTGCTTACCCTCTTCTGTGTGTTAGTGCACTGAAGTGTAATTAAGTACACTGGTGCAGAAATTTATCTTAGTAGCAAAACAGGGACAACACAAAATCATATGTGCCTGCAAAAAACATGTCATGTACTTATTTGAAGGCCGCTTCCTCCTCAAACCCTCATCTCTAACCTACAACCTCCTGCTCTCTGTCACCCACCTCCTCCCACAAACACATAAACAAGTATGCCCGCATACACAATGTAACACATACTGATGAATGGCCTGTCATGCTGTTTGGTGATCAGTGAATTATTTACACTCATATGCCTTTAATAATTCAAGGGCCCAGTCTTAACAAATTACTGCACTGCTCTCCAAACCAACAGAGTTCAGTCAGCCAGAGCACCACAAGCAGGCCGTTCATCCACTCTCTAACACGCCCTTGGAATATGATGGTGACATTTTTGCAAGACCCTAAATCTCATGCGTAATTTGATAATTTTCAAAGCAAGACATGTCTCAATAAATCAGTCTTACAGCTCATCTCTGCTGTGATATCTGCTTGTAGACTCGACCGACTGCAATACTTTCTGTACAGTTTTAAGAAGGCTCTTGAGTCAAAGAAAAAAAATCAACAGCAGAAAAACCTAGATAACAAACACTGTAAAGTAAGGTTTAAAAAAAAGTATCACATTGGTATCAGTGCCAAGATTCAAATACTGACACTAGAGTAAAATAATTTCATAAAATGCATGTACAGTTATGTGTAGATAGATGTAGACGGCATCACAATAGATTCATTTCCCTTCAGAACGTTCTGCCACTGCTACTGTTTGTTTTGAGTCTGCTGCTCTCTTTCACACACACACACACACGTTACACACCCAAAAGCTCTGGAAAAAATACAGGATAGTCATTGTGCACATGCGTCACTGCAAAAATGTCCCTGAGAGCACACACATTCAAAAATGACAAAAAGAAACTCAGATTTTTCCAATTTAAAAACTGAATTAAATAAATGGATGAATGATACACAGGTCTATCTACTGGCTCCTGACCTTGATTTTACCTGATCAAGACATGGAAATTTCCACCTATAAGGCTCTGCTTTAAACTTGCTTATTTAATTTTCACTGTGAAGTCACAAGTCCTGACACAGTCGTCACAATCACTAGAAATTGATTCCTTTCCCACAGAGTAGAGTGACTGGTGAGGCTTGGCAATGTGTGGGCAATGAAAACGCTTGCTGGCTGAAATTAAGAAAAGCCATTTCTAAACATTTTCAATTCAAGATTCACATGTATTTGCACATTTACTGACACGATTAAACATTGGAAGTTTTCTACTTCATTAACAGTTATTTGGAAGACTGCAGATAGAAATGCTTGTATCTACTAGATTTGTGTTTGTCTGATTTATGTGACTTAATTAGTACTTACTTCTGGCTATGTTTGACATATCTCAAGGATAAATCTCACACAGCAAATCAAAAATGAATGCTCTTAATAAACACATAGTTTAAATTAGCTGTGCACATCACCATCTACAGTAGATGCCACAGTGACACCTGCCACCTCCACTGGCTCCCAGTGTGAACATCCTGTCAGTGCCACAGGGTGAGCTAGCCATGTACAATATACATACAATGAGAGATTAGGTCCTTACTACCAGCTTCCTCATATTTCCTAGTCATCAGGTAATGCACACGTACACACACAGACATGCAGACAAAGACGACAGATAGAAACAGACATGCACAAGCACACACAGAGGCCTCACCAGACACTTCCAGGTCCCTAACGAGGTCGCTAATTAACTCTCCCACTTGTGCTTGCTCGTTTTCATCCGAGGTACACATTGCTTTTTTGACAGGAGAAAATTGCTGGGCAATTAAATCATCTGAAGACGAACACTCCAGCAGCTGGTATTAACAGCTAAATGTTACAACCATTTTCAAAAATGCAATTGTGGAGAAACTGTACAGTAAGTGACTGACTGCTATAGTGTTTCCTAATAACCCACAGCTGAGGCTTTATGGCAGTGTACTGTACTAATGCAGCATGGTATGTTGATGTTACAAATGCTTAGCAAAATGAATCCATCCATGCAAATCAAAAACAGAAGAAATTCAGCTGAAAGAGTGCAGCTTTGCTTTGACAAAGTTCACCAGCTAGTGATCAGAGACAAGACTTCAGCAGCTAAAAAGCCAGATATTTCATTGAGGAAGTGGTGGAGACCAAAATAGAGCTAAAAGGACCTGGAAAGTGGGACTGATGGACACAAACATGACTCCCAATAAATAGTGATGTGCTTGCTGGATTTGGAAACAATCAAATGGTCAATATATTGGTCACTCTATAAAGCTGTCACAGTGAACATTTTAGCGATTTTGTGTTTGCTACTTATTCTGCTGCCCTCATATGGTCAGAAAATAAATGTTCCATTCCAGTATTAAAGCATTTTGTTTATTAATTTTCTGTCAATCAGTTAATCAATTGATGGATTACATAAGTATGTTTTTGTGTATGACTTGCAGGCCAACAAAGAAAGGACTTTAAATTACACATGATTTTTTTTCAAACTCCCATAAAGCCATTGTCTGTCCTTAACCTAAACCCCAGCACCTTTTTAAAATGCACAGATAAAGACAAACAGCAAGATATTATTTGCAAACAATATCTGACCCAGGTCTGTGCACACACACCCACACACACATTGTGTTTTGGGCTCCACTTCATCTCAGTGGAGCCTCCTGGGTCCTCGGCCTCTTCTGAAACTGATTTTTGCCTCCTATTTTGTTAACCCCGCTCGCAATTAACCCCACGCTGTGAGCCAGCCACACATGGTCCAATAGAAACTGCCTACAGTATGTGAGTGCCCAGCCTGGTGTGAATCACCACATTGTGTCATCTGTCCTTAAAGAAAAGAATGGGGAGAAGAGAGAATGAGTCACAGAGAGGGAGAAAGAGTGCTGGTTTGCTGGGATACACTATTCTTAGCAGGGTACCCCCGGGGGCGATGACAGCAGCGTAGGGTGGAGGGGTTGTTTCTGTGTGTGTGTGTGCAAGG